GACTTGCGTCGGCTGTTCGGGGTCATGGGAGGGGCGATGCTGTCGGCGCGAGACTTGCGGCGCGCACCAGGAGCGGCGGGGGCCCCGTATGCGTTGTAGCGCGTGGACGCAATGCTCGCCGCGCGGGACTTGCGGCGTGCAGCTATGGTGGCAGCGGACTTGCGGAAGGGGTCGATGCTGTCCGCGCGGGAACGACGTTTCTTGGCCAGCATGGAGTTGAAGCCGGCCTTAGGCTTCTCCTCGACCGTCTCGATGATCTGCGAGTTGCGCGAGGACGCGCGGGAGGACTGGCGAGACAGAGAGACCATAGAGTCGCGACGTGTCGGCGCGCGGATGAACTCGACGCGGCTTCCGCGCCATCCTGGTGGCGGTTCGAGGGGGGTGACTAGGGGAAGGTATGGTGACCCAGGGGACTGCGGTCCGATAATGTCTCCCTGTTCGACTTGCACCATGTAGTCGAAGCCGTGGCCTGAGTTGATGCGCATTCCAGGCGCTGGGCCCCTTTGGCGAGGCACCACGACTGGCTGACCAGTGATTTGATCCAGCGAAGAACGCGGCTTATCGACTAGCGCAAGGCTTGGCTTCTCGAACGGGTCTTCGGGTACAAGCGGATCGAGCTGAGCCTTTATCTTGTCCACAGACGGCTTCGGCGTATGAGACGGAGTACTGATCGCGCCCGACTTCGCGCGGGCCGCAACGAAGTCTGCGAGTGTGGTGGTCTCCGATTGCATGCTACCATGACTATTCCGGTTGCCCGCTTCGAGCTTGTCGTCGTCGTAAGACTTTCCTGCAGGAGGTCCGATCCATGTCGCGTCGCTGCCTCGACGGCCCGTGGACGGCACGGCGTTCACGAATTTCGCATCTCTGCGTCTAAGGAATCGTCGGCGGTAAACAAATAGGATCACCGCCACGGCAAGAATGAGAGCCACGCCTCCGCTGACCGAGGATGCGATAATGATGGTCTTCGTATGGCTGTCGCTGTATTGTGAGCGAGGTTAGCGAGACACGCATGTGCTGGAATTGCGAGAATTTACCTTTTGCTGTCCAAGCTGAGCGGAGGACTACTGTTGGGGAGAGCCGAAGGCTGTTGAGGGCTGCTTAAGGGGTCTGCGGACGAACTGGTCGCTCATGTCAGCTCGGGATGCCCATTGGAAAGGAGTTCATAGCTCACGCAGGTGCAAGAGCTGCAGGCTGTGGGTTCGGGGAGGGCGAAGGAGACGTGGTGTCTGTAGAACCAGACCCTGCACGGTTTTGTGCAAGCCCGTCCGAGGGATCGCCGGTACTCTCATTACTGGGATTGTCAACCGTATCAGAGTCCGAGTCGGCTGGGGTACCTGGGCCTGAGCTGGAGTCGGAGTCCGTGGCGGTCTGGTCGGTAGCAGCCGGATCGGGCGGTGGCGCGCCCGACGAGCTGGAGTCTGCGTCTGCAGAGTTGGGATCTGAAGAGGGAGAGGAGTTGGGATCCGGAGGGACAGTGTTCGTAGAGTCGGACATGAGGTGTTGAGGGGACGCGGAGTTTTGCACGAAACTGACTCGGAGACGGAAACGAGGGGAACTCAACGAGACGTGAAGATTCGTAGGCTCAGAGAGATGAAAAGGGGTCGTACAACTCCGGATGTGTAGAGGGGATCTCACAGTGTAATGGGACTTCTACAGTTCTGAACGCCGCCACGAAGTGCCAGTACGCCTGCGAAGCTAGACGATAGTACGAACACACAAAGCCGAGACGGCGTAGCAGAGACCAGCCCAAGAATCAAAACAGAGCTCGCCAGGAGCAGCGAAGGAACGAAAAGCAAAGGAACCGGCGTGCAGAATGGGGACCCCAGTGCCAGACGTGGTGGACGACCTCGTCAAAGGTGCGCGACGCACACAAAACAGAGGGACTCCTTCCCAGCGTGTGTCCGCAGTACATCATCGTCTCCCTCCGCCTCAAGCGCGTCCCCTGAGCCATTGGATCACGCTCCTGGCACGGCGACCGCGCCAGCCGCATCAGTCAGCGTGGGCGAGATGATGATGCACAGGCCTGTCTGTGGGGCGGATCACGGCCGTTTCTCTGCGATGCCGTGGCTGCCTGATAGCCTACAAGCCGTCGTGGTGCAAAAATGCAACATCTAGTGGCCCCTAGCAGCCACCGTTGCTGCAGGCCACGGAACGCGGGATTGGCGACCGAGAGAGGGCGGAAGGGCGTCGTCGCGGTGATTGACCATCATCGCGGCTGTGCTGGATGCATCTCTTATCTTCAGGGAAGCCGCCGCCCCCCGTGAATGTCGTGCAATGGAAAGCACGGCGGTCGCACAGCATATAGATGTTCAGTCGAAGACGAGACGAGCTTTGCGCGTGATGGTAGAGGCAGAGAGTGGACGCGTGGATGAGCTGAAACACTAGCGCCTCGATCGCCCGCCAATGGGACCCACAAGCGCAAACACGGCACATGCGTATGCCCATTCCGATTCTGTCCAGAGGATGTCCCCAAGTCCCTATGATCATGACAATGCTCGTAAAGGAATGGCAAGATGGAATGCTGGCTGACATGCTTCGTGATTTGCCATATCAGTGATACTATGGCACACCTCGTCATCTCGACAAACATTTCATTACTCTCCGTAACCACCTACGACAACCGACTACTACCGTTCACCGCGTATCTGAGTATCACCGAGTCCTAGTACTATCCGTATCCAAATCGTTGGACTAGACCGATTGCAACTACACTGAGCGCCTCTGCACGAAACATGCTACTGCTTGTGGGACGGGGGACAAAGGGGAGAAAAAAGACAACTACATGTGGGGGAACGTCTGTGAGGACGTGGGCTATATGCTTTACAGGCAGCAGCGATGTACCGCGTCGCACAGGAGAGCATTGATACATCGTGGAGAGCTACAATAAATTACAGTATGTACAATTATAGAGAACTACCTACCTTTTGCATGCGGTGATGTTGTGGAATCTGAATGCGGGGAGTAGATGCCGCGGAGGGACACGGAGAGGCTGGTTGACCCTGAGCGGCGTGATGACAGGGATGGCGAGGAATCGACGACGGCCGGTTGAAGCGCGCGGTGCCGTCCTACCGGATAGCGCAGGTCTCGTACAGGCTCGGCGCCCTAGGCGCCTTGAACTTGCCCCACACCTCCCATACCTTGAGTTGCGACTCCTCCGGCACGGCGAAGACGATACGGTGCCCGTTGGGGCTCAAGACACTGCCAGCGACGTTCTTCTTGGCCACCGAAACCGTCGTGACATGGCGCATGGTAGGGAACTGATGGACGACGACCGAGTTGCTGATGCGCGAAGTGAAGGGGTCGACGAATGTGGACATAGACGCGAACGGGTCCTCGAGAGGGGTCACTGGAGTAGTTGCAGTGACGGGAGTAGTAGGGACAGTGGCTGGGGCAGGGGAGACTTTGCCTGGTCCGTGAGTGCTCAAGAGCTCACGGATATGTGGTGAGAAATGGAGGGACGTGACTTGAGCGTCGAGCTCAATCTTCGTCGGCCACTCCGACGACGGGCTCTCATCGACCACGTCCCAAACGCGAATCGTTCCCGTCCCCTCGGCCGTTGAATCGCCGGTAACAAGGTACTTTGTCTGCCATGGGCACCATGCAAGGGCCTGCATTCACACATCAACAGCTGTCTGGGATCGCACATGCAAATAGCGCTCACCGTCACCGCGCCCACGTGCTGCATCTTTCGCCGACGTTGGACCATTTCACCGACGTCAAGCGGGACCTGGGGACGTCGCGCATCCCAAACGAGCACGAGGCCATTCTGATCTCCAGTGGCCAGGTACTTCCCGTCCTCTTTCCATGCTGCCTTCAAGATGCGGCCCTGGTGGCGCGTCACCTTCTTCAATTGTTCCTTCAACTTGGTCGCGTCCGGCGCCCGAGGATCATAATGCCGAAGAGTGCCCCTCTCGTCACCGACCGTGAGCAGGTTCTCACCGAAGCACATGGACGTGACGCTCTTCATCTTCCAACTCAGGACCATCTTCTTTGCAACGAGGTCCCAGAGCTGCACGCCACCGCCCGAAGTCGCGAGCGCTACAACGTTCGGCTGGCTCTTCCCACCGCACTGGATGAGCCGCAGATTCCCCAAGCTGCTGGTAATCTTGCAAAGCTGCTGTGCGACGTCCTCGGTGTCGGCCATGTTCTTGTAGTGGACACGGTTCCCGCGGCCGAACACGACCGCATTGGACTGTAACCAACTGACCGGTGACGCCGGCGCGGAGTCTGCCGCGTCGCCGCCGGCCGGAGCGACCGAGTAGTCGATGGTGTTCACGGAGCGAAGGACGTGGTAGGCAGAGTGTGCGGCGTAGGTGGGCTCGGCGGGTGTCATGGACTCCCGCTTGCGGCGCAGGTCGCTTACGGAGGAACTTCTCATCAACTCGAAGCTTGCCATGACGGTCTCGCCCCCTATCGATGACGCCCGAGAAGGTGAGTTGGAGTAGACGAACGATGAAGAGTGTCCGCTGAGGCGAGGGCGGCGAGGGCTGGAGTGAATGACTCTGGCGAGCTCGTCATGGGCTTCATCAATCATGGATCGGGTTCTTGTCAGGCTTGTCCTTGAGGGTCCCGGAGACAACTATCTGACGTGTCAATCGAGGAAAAACGCGCCCTATGCCTGCCTTCTGCACTCACGCTGCTCACGGGGGTATCAAAGGTGAGCGTGGATTGTCGACGAAGCCTCTTGTTGGAAGTAGAATCCTCATCATCGAGAGAGCTCAAAGTGCGTTTCCTGACCTCTTGTCTTAGCCACGAGTTCCCCCGCCATCAAATGTCACGCACCGTTGAAAGGGAGATCCACGGTGCAGCCAAGACATCTTCTGTAGTGTATGGTTGATGTGAGACGGTGGTGGGAGAAGGAAGAGGGAGAGACTCGGACTCAAAACTGTGTGTGGCGAGTGTCTCGGTTCAAGGTTGTGACGGTGTGCGTAGGCGCGCGTGTCTGGGGAAATAGCCCCAGGTCATGTGATCGTCGCGTCACATCCCAAAAAGGTATGTTGCGACACCAGCAGGGTTCGAACCTGCGCTCCCAGAGGGAAACAGATATATGACAAATGCAATTCTAATCTGTCGCCTTAACCACTTGGCTATAGTGTCTTGATGGCGAGCCACCAAGTGACTTTCAGGCTGGGCGAGGTGATGCGGGGGATTTATGGCCTCCACAACTAGATTTGAACACGCGACAACACAACCGGGTATACTGACATCAAGAGAGCGATTCATGATGCTGAGGCATCAGAGAGAAAGCATACGCTAAAAGCAACTACAGACTTTCCCTCCTTAGAGCGACGCACTCAACGCCAGAACAACCGCACCCATCAGTACGCCAGCGACGCCGGTGTTCGCCTTCAAGTTCGACGCGCCGCTCGCAATCTGGCCCGTAACACCACCCGAGAGACCAGCAGCAGCCGCGACGGCACCGCTGAGGAAGCTGGAACCGCAAGTCGTCTGGACCGCCTGGTAGAGCGAGGACTGGCCGGAGAGGAGCGTGGAGGAAGAGAGGCCGGGGGCGTACGGGGTATCCGACTCGAAGCTGATGTACGACGTGAGGACGCTGCGCGTGCACGAAGTGCAAAGCGACGCAGAGGACATGTTGGGCTGCAGCATCAGGAAGAGGAGGTTGTACTTGGCGAAAGTCGCGGCGTTCGGTGCGACAGAAACGACCGATTGCACGGTCGCACGGCGGGAAACCGCAGACGACACGGGGACGGCGACGTCTTGCACGATGGTGGAGAGAACACCGGACGAAGAGGCGGTAGAGTTGCTCGCGATCTCAGAGACGCAGTAGCGGTTGGTGCTGTCGTCTTTGGAGCAGATCGCGTTCCGGAAAGGAGTGAGGGCGTAGAGAACGTCGTACATGCGGATGACGTCCTGGTTGGGGCTGGTAGACAGCTCGTCCGTGCAGGCATTGTAGAAGTCTGCGAGCTTAGGGCGAATGAGAGTCTCCGGGCACGAAGCGGAGGACTCGCAGACGCTGTTCAGCGCACTTTCGATGGCGGATGAGGAGAAGTTGGCAGCAGCGGCAGAAGCGTTGGTGCTGGGTGCAAACGCAGAGGTGGCGGAGATAATGGCAGAAGTGCAGCTCGTGAGGTTGGTGTCCTGGTTGAACTGGGTAAGGAAGGTCGAGCACTGGGAGCTGATTCCCGAGGGAATGAGGGATGCCTATCGGTTATATTCATTAGCATGTAGTTCTGCACGTTCAGTTGCAGCAAGAGAGGCGAGTGCTGGCAGGTGGGCAGTAGGGGGGATGATGACACGCCGAATGCATGTTCGCGTTTCCGCCCGGTTTACCGCTGTATGCGCATGAAATGTCCCATATTGCCTGCCTTGACAAACTGGGCGTGTTTTTGGATTGGTAGGGGTCCTCTGAAAGCTGGCAGCGAATTCCCTACAGGCCCACCCACTCTCACCGACCCACCGCCTCGACCCTGATTGATGCGCTGGGACTCACCGACTGGGCCAGAACGACCGACGCGAAGAGGGAGGCTGCTGCAATAGACTTCATGGCGAAGCGTGTATGGTATGCAAGGAGTGGACGAGTTCTTTAATGTCGACGACGACGACGGCGGCGGGGAGGAAAAGAATGGTGAACTGGGGGAGAAGGTCGGCGGACGGACCAGTCTTGTTGGGCGTCGTTAGGATAACATGTACAAACAAATCTTTACTTGGCGGTGTGGCTGACCCGGGCGTCTATTATCTCACGCGGGACCTTGAGCCCGCGCCCTACATAAGCCTACATAGCGGCTCACGTAGCTTAAATGTGATGGTGGTCAATTAGGCCAGATCTTTGAAAGGGTTCAGTGGACTTTCGCAGACCACCTAGGCAAGACAAGAAGCGCGAGCTAGTATGCGCATGGAGGGATGTTTTCGTAGCTACAATACTCTCGTAAGTGTGTGAGTCATACATTGAGTCGTGACATATCTGACATTCACTAGGCAGTGCTCGTGGCGACCTTGCTGCGTGGTCGAGGAAGTCAATCCGAGGACCGGAACATGTTACAACGTTATACATAATCTGCGGGATATACATTCCCCTCGTACAAACTCGTTAAACCTCTCACTCAGTCAAAAGGCCGCATCACGTCGTTCCCGCGCACGTCCGTCGCAAAGTTGCTCTGAACGCCGGCCTTCCAGTTCGGCACCTCGAATGTAGACGTGTGGCACCACGGCTTCAACGTGAGCTCCTTCTCGATGACACGGGCAAAGTGCTCAGACCAGCCCTTGCGCGGGAACTTCGCCGTCGTCGTCTCGATCAGGCGGGGATGGACGAGGTTCGCACGCCTGGAAGCACAACTTCTCAGCATATATGCGAGTAGCAGAAAGTGCAGAGACTCACAGTCCGACGTTGTCTACAAGCGCACAAACCCGACGGCAGTGAGTATGCACAAGACATGACACAGCATTGAATATTGAGCACTCACCCAGAATGGTTGATAGTTGAAGGATCTGCCCTACCATTGTGATATTACCCCTTTACTCTCGCAATAAGCCTCGCAACATCTCCGAGATCAGTTGCAAACTCACCCTTTCACGAAGATGTCCTGGTGCCTGATGATGGCATCGCACACCCCGTCGGCCTCAGGCTCAGGGCCGCCAAGTGAGAGTATAAGGTCGCGCGCGACTATGGCGCCCTTGAATTCGAAGGACATGTACGTCGTCGCGAGGAACTTCTCCGCGGTGCCGATGTCATGGAGCAGGCACGATAGCGCGTAGGTCTCCAGCGCGCTGGGTGTCTCGTTGAACTTCCACTCGGGGAAGTGCGTCTTCACGAGGGCGGCGCCTGCGATCCTCACTCAAGTACTGTAGACTTGAAGAGCGTGGGCGGCGTACATACCGTAGACAAAGACACGATTGCTGTGATTGAATGTCTGCTCGTCTAGCTCTTTCTACGAAGAGCTCAGACCATCAGCACCTACGTGACACGAGATGTAGAGGGGACTACCTGTGCGAATGCGCGCACCTCCCGCACAAGGGGAGTATCTGGCAGCGGGAAGTCATCCACAACGAAGAGATCCTGTTTCGGGTTCGGCCCAGACGCGGTAGGGTGGTCCTTGAACAGCACCTCGGGATCCCGAGGGACAGGTGCAAAGCCGTACAGTTTCCAGTCGTCGGACGGCATGATCTGCAGGGAAATGGATCGATGCGATCGTTCCAGCGAGATGCAGTTATAAGGACTCAGTGAAGGCACGAGTCAAGGGCCCTTGCTCCGACCGGTGTATAAACCGAAGCGCACTGCTGAGAGAGCTATCTATGTGTGGGTCGCCGAGTCGCCGTTCGATGTCCGCATCCTCGATCACGCCTTTCCCAGCGAGATGTGAGTGAATGCCTCTCAGGACGCCGCAGAGGGGCCGGAATCCGGCTCAAACTCCCAAGGAACCCGCAAGTGTCTCAGCTCCGTAAACGCAGCCTGGGGAGGGTGTCACGGGTATGGAGCGTCTGACGAAGACCTGGCAGGTGCCGCGAACTCAGCAACTTGATCTCTTCAAGCACCCATCCCCCAGTGGAGGTCATATGAGCCCTATGCATATGGATTCGCGTTCGAATTCCTGCTGAGGGCAAGCATGAACCCCAACCTCCGTAAGAAGCGAAAACACTCGCATCCACCTTCGCTCAGGGCAGCGAACGACATACTAATGGGACGGCCAACAAGAAATGTGGCGACAGGACATCAACGCCGCAATGCATTCTATTGAATCGTTACAACATGAGATTTTACTACCTTCTGTCTTCCGTATACAGCATCGATACATCCTATCAAACACCCCGAACGAGAAAAAAAAAAGCATCTACAGCTCTATAGCAAAACAGTCAGAACCGTGAATGCACTGTAACACATGGGGGACACGTACTCTGCATGGCAGCGACATCGGAGCTCTGGACGTAGTCGTCGAACTCGGCGACCTTCTCCTGGAGCTCATCAAGGGAGACCAGCTCATCCTCTGCAGAGATTCATTAGAAGACGCCTCAATACTTGAAGTTAATATCTACGTACCGACGACGAGGGTGATCTGGAGCTTGCGGATACCGTAACCGATGGGGACAAGCTTGGAAGCACCCCAGACGAGACCGGGCATCTCGATCGAACGGACGGACTCCTCGAGCTTGGCCATGTCGGTCTCGTCGTCCCAGGGCTTCACCTCGAGGGTGACAACGGACTATCGATGAGGCAGAATGTCAACATCGTGTTCAAAATGAGCGTATGTGCATGTTCAAGCCTATGACAGGAATCTACAGTATGATAAACGGTGGATCGGACACTGACCTTGGCGACAGTCTTGGGCTTCGCGGACTTCTTCGCGTTGTAGGCAGCGACACGCTCAGCCTTGATGCGCTCAGCCTCGGCGTCCTCCTCGTCGTCAGAGCCGAAGAGGTCGACATCATCATCGTCCTCTTCCTTCTTGGCCTCAGCAGCGGGGGCAGAAGCACCGCCAAGGAATGCCTCACCAGCCTTGCTGGTGCCCGGGAGGGAGTCGAACTCGGAGGTGTACGACTTGATGTGGTTGTACCAGCGGGAGACGTGAGGGTACGCAGACGCGTCGGGGGCGGAGGAGATCGCCTTGAAGACGACAACATCGGCCTGCGAGGGCGTGTAGCTGTGCAGAAGAAGAGGTCAGAACTCGAATTCAAGAGCACAGCACAGATTCAAAGACAAGGGATCAGAAAGCTAGGTAAATAAGTTGTCGGCATGCTTGAGCAGCGGTGTCTAGTCGCTTCTTGGAAACACGGACCATAGCGTTGTGTTCATCACGAAGAGCAGACAAACAGAACAATACTCACCCCTCGACGTAGGAGCGGCTGGCGAGGTGGGACTCGAGGTTGGCGAGGTTGGCGGACATGGCGGACGAGAGGAAAATTTGGATGCGGACGAAGGATCGATGGACGGATGTGGGTCTATCAAGCGCCCATAAAGATCTGAATTTTATGGAGTCCCGTGACTGACTTAGGGCAGGCTCGCCCCGCCTTGGCTATTTGTCCACATCAGTGGCTGATCGCCGACTTGAACCTGTTCCCCACTCGTGTGTCCTCTTGCCCCCGCTTTCCCTGCTCTCCTCGTCGCCATCGCGTGGAGTTGTCGAACATAGCTCTTCTAACGCTGT